GTAGTGTATATATCCTACATAGACATAGGCTGTGCGTTAATGTAATGCAGGAGGTTTAGATTTGCTGCGTTGGTGTAGCTTCTAGGTCCTGAACGAGGGAGCATTACAGAGAGCCTTATTTACGCCCACAGCTTTATGATTGTCTGGTTTGATATTTCACTAATTGATTTAAAAGTGAAACAAAATGAGTAAATATTAACTATTTAACATTTCTTGTTAAATAGACTGTGGTTCTGTGTAACTTTTGCTGCCTTTTAGAGCCAGTTTCAACCTGTGCTAAGTAACTTTTTGTTGAGGCGTAGCTTTATGTTATGGGTGATTTAAAAAGATTTCTCCACAATGGATGGTAAAAAAATTTAAAGTTCAACATTTGAAAACAAAGTGTGTTAAAGTTCCTTAAATAGTAAATGCTTTAGGTTTCCTGTTCAAGACTCCATAATATACAATTTCCTTTGAGCCTGACACACTGAGACGATCCTACATGGTATTACATGATATTTTGGCAAGCAAAGGAATTAGCATATTTTTTGAAGGTAAACTATGAATAACAAGGTATTACCACAGCTGCAGCTAATTTGCAAAAGGATAATAAAATCATGAATTGCATCTAATCCGATGGGGGTTGCATGTTCAGCATCAAGGTAAAAACGCAACAGGATTTATGTTAATCTGACCTCATTTAATTTGCTTGTCACTATTAGTTATGGGCACCATTGTGACTTGGATTTTTATGCATAAACCATATGAATGCACTTTCCTGAGCAATAGCTACCATTGTAATCTCTGTAAAATATAACTTCACGTCTGCCTGAGGGAGAAAATATGTTGCTGCTGAGCAGTTTTGATGAGAAACATATAAACGTGTCACCAAACAAACCTTCACCTGTAAACGGCAGCAATGACATCTTTTAAAACACACAAGTCTTTTCAGATCCTCATAATCTGTCTGTCTAATTTTTTTCTTCTTTGAATCCCTAATAATCAAAGTTGGCTCTTCTATCACATTTTACTGTTTATCTTCCACCTGGCCCTGCCTGACTTTTCACTTTAAGTAAAACCATAAAAACTTTTATTTCTTAGGACACAATTATATTGATGTGTTCTCATTATCAATGAGGCCTGCCGTGCTGTCCTCCACGTTTAAGAGGTTTTTCTGCTTAAGCACAGCTGATTCTGATTATTGCAGTTCATCAAAAGCTTTGAATCAGCTATCAATAGAAATCAGACATGCTGAAGGAAGGAAACCTCTAAAACTTGCAGGACAGCAGCCCTTGACATGTCTGTTATAGGTGGATGGATGAATTTTAGTGCTGAAGCAATTGTAGTTGGAGTGATGTTTTTTCTGTGGTAACAGAGACACCTAGTGTTTGTTACAGGTACTACATATTGGTTTCTTGGACCAGTTTCTGGAAGGAATCAAACTCTTACGACAGAGGCATTTTTAGTCCATCTTTGGGGGTTCTGAAGCACCTGTACATACAGCTCTCTAAACCTCTGATCCTAGAATCACCCTGTATAATACCCCCCTGACTGTTAAAGATAGTGAACATAAAGATATGTCTTTTTTTTTCAGATAGAGACCTAGTAGTATTAGTTTGCCTGTAACTTGTGGACATGCCTGTTTGTTTGCTTTTCTCCAGTCCAGTGTCCTAATTGCACAAAACTGGAATTAACTGAACAGAATCACCATATATCTTGCATTTCTCATTTAACTTGCAGTGTTTTTTTTGGCAGCTTAAAGGCATGAAATTGCATCTTCTATCCTGTTTGATGTAAACCCAGCTGGCTCCTTTGATTGGCTAGAGAGGCAACGTATCAGCGGGTATAAACCACAGCTGTAGCTGATTTTTAGAAACCCTTTCCGAAAGCCCTGCAGTGTAACGTGGTGCATCTTCTGTTCCACTGCAGGTCCATTATCGGTGACTAAAGATGCTATATATAAACAATATATATTTATATAAATGAAAGATGCCTGCAGCTGTGTTGAGGAAAAACCCATGAAAAGGAGGCCAGAGACAAAAGATGATGTTGGTGGGATAAAAGGTGGTGAGGGAGGGATGTGGTGTGCATCATTGAGTAAGCATGTGATTGAGGGGAAAAAGAGAGAGCGAGAGAAACATTTAATTTAAGAGGGTTTATGCTGTTTTCTATCAATATCTTTTTTACCCATGAAAGACGAAGGACATTCAGGATTCAGACAAATATAACCCTGTTAAAAAAAAAAAAGACTTTTAACTTGAAAATTGAGTCAGACCAGCTTTATGTTGGATTGTATGTAAAAGCTAACAACTCTTTCCTTCACTTTTCTCCTCACCTCTACCTCCATCTGGCCCTGACATGTTTTTCGTCCAGCTTGTCATCATGTCTGGCACAGTGCTACTGGCCTACTACATGGAGTGCACGGACCTATTCAGTGTGCACGTGCAGGGCTTCTTCTGTAACGACGCCGAGCTGATGAAGCCGTACCCCGGCTTGGAGGAATCCAGTTTCGTCCCTCCTCTTATCCTCTACTGCGTGGTCGCTGCTGCTCCTACTGTAATAGTGAGTACAAAAAAATTTTTCTTTTTTTAAAGTTTGAATGCATTTAGTTATTGTTTTCTGAGGGTTGTCATAGCTTCGTTGTATTTCAAGGGACTCATATAGTGCATGCAATAGAGTTTATTTCCCTTGCTTTTGATGAAGTCGTAATTTTTAATCTTATCTTTTTAACCAGATGAATTATTTTTAACCATGTCTTGCATGTAAACAAAAACTATAGTTGTATTTAAGGTGAAAGTTTTATATTTTTATTTGGGCCTTTTTTTGTTTTAAAGGTCCTATAATATTCTATTTTAAAGCCTTTTCAAATTTGAATATGGAAAAACATAAAATGATATAACCCCTTTAAAACTGCATTGATTTGTTGCGAAAAAACATTTTCAATCTTTAAACCTGAAGAAAAACACTTGCCTTTGAAGAGAAGCCACCTCTGCTGTCTGGTTGCCACCTATAGCTGTATTACTCATTTTCTGTAGGCTAAACAAAGCCTGAGACCTCTCACAGACAGAAAAAAATTATTTTTAACAACTTCTATATTAGCTTAAAAAGAGAAGTTGCTGACCTGTGCAGACTAGCTGTTCAAGGAGCCCTTTTGCCTTAATCTTGAGCTGGAATCGTCTCGCTCTGCCTTGATTCACCCCTCCTTGATCAGACGGAGTGGATGTTTGTTTGCAGTGCAGTCACCCAGTTAAGGTAGGTGCTTTCTGCAGGGAATCTTCTTCCACTGCTTGGGTTCACAGGTCAGGGAGGGGCTGCAGCTAAGACTGCATACAGTATCTTAAGAGGTTCACTGAGAGACACACAAATCAAGGGAATTACCGCTTTGTGCATTATTTTGATGAAGGACTATTATTATGACATCTAAAAGCACAAAATATTGATTTTTTTTTGATTGCTTGATTTTCTCAAGTTGAATGGAGGGTTTAATGTTTGAGGACAATGAGGACCCAAAGCCGAAGTTTTTTTTTTTTTTTTTAGGTGATTTGCCAAAGTTGTTTATTGGGCATTCATTTTAAAATCCATAAGAGCTTTAGTAATTCCATGCTATGACTTGTTATACAGTCACTTAACTCGCTCCAGTATGCAGGATGCCAGAAAGAGAGAAATGTATGGTATGACCATGCTGATTCATGCGCCTGATGATCAGTGATCCTTGAATATTAAGAAACTAAATGTAATGTGATGATGACATCTCAGCAACGCTTTAGTAACCCATCCTAATGCAAATAAACACTGTGAATCCTATTCAGTGACTGCAATACTTGAAAAAACATGCAAGTTCTTCCAAGTCCCCCTCATATTCTGACCCAAATAACTCCAGCTAACATTGTATCATGCAAAACATTGTAGCAGGAAGCACTACAAATGATGTCCATATATTATAAAAGAGTGAGTGTCTCAGAATTTCATGTAACTCACTGCAGAAAAGACCATGAAAACCTTTGCAACTTTTACCATCCAGATGAAGTCTGTAACGGAAATCACAATCTTCTTCCGTTTTAATACACATTGCCTGAGTGAAGGTTTTCCTATTAAACAAAAAAAAAAAAATAATCTAGCGCATGGTTTAATTTTTTTGTTGCTTGGTTCTTTAGGTTGTTTTAGATCAGTTATTTAATTGTTTAAATGAAAAAGCATTTATATTCCATGCTTCCTGGTTCTTGAACCAACTTCCAAGAAAACTAGGGGTGGCAGTACTGATTTTAGATACTGATAGCATTGATACAATCGCATCAAATTTAGCCTAATACGAGTATTAGTCCAGCTGCAGTTTCTCTTCTATACTTTCAGCAAATTATTTGAATTTCCTTAAAGAGTTCATGCAGGCGCAGCATCTCTCTAAATCTGTCTGCAAACAGCACCTCTCCCTCTCTCACACTTCTCCCTCTGGCATACTCTACCCCTCCCATTCCCTGTTATGCATGGAAAAAGAGAGAAAGAGAATTTGCTGGGTGGACGTTCCACTGCAGCTGATAAGGCCTCTGCCACATGTGAATATGTGCAGGACACCGTTTGCAGCTGCAGGAAGATCATTGATTTACACCAACATATGAAAGCAGTTCACGCATCTTAAAGTATCCAAGTAACCTTCAGTGCATATTAGGAATGCAAGTTATCCATTATTCATTAAATGTATAGCTGATTGATTTTATTGATTAACTAATGAAAGTGATATGTTTAATTAAATAAAATAGTACTTCTTATATTTTAACAATTTATTGCACCCGCTATTTTAAATACTGACTAAATATATTTTTTTCATTTGCATTATTAAACTAATTTATAAGATATAACAAAACCAGAAGCTATTAGATGCTTTTGACAGAGTGGTGACGTGTACAGGGTGCACCCCACCTTACACCAAAAGGGGGGCCCAGGATAGGCACCAGCCCCACTGTGACCCCGACAGATGAGCAGGTGAAGATGCGTGAATTAGCTATTTAGTTACTAAATAATGAAATATGAATAAAATAGGTGCACAGATAAGATTTCCACTGTACAAAGCTGTTAAACAAGAAAATGAAACGGGTTTTCGGTCTGATTGCTGACTAAATATCTACTTGAAACCTAACATTAAACATGTTCAGAATAAAGTATCTAGAAGCATTGCAGCTCTGAGTGTTGCATTGCCCATTCTTTACAGTTAACTGATATTATCATACCTGAGCTACTGTGTTAAAGTCTAAGGTAACATCTACAGACATCACTCAAACTGCTATGCAAGCTGCAGCAAAGAGCCATGAGGATCCTGATGGAGGCTGTGGTTGGAGGATCTCATCAGCTGGGATTTTAGTGCGTGTCTTTTCAAGCCCTGTGTATCTCTTTAGTGCATTTTGATTGCTGTATACAAACATATGTTGGTTAATAAGCATTTACAAGGATATATTAGAAAAATGTTCAATTTAATCCCGAAGAACAAAATCCATATCCCTCACTCCTTCAAAAGAACTTTATATTAAACTATTAAACAATGAAAAAAAATGTTTTTGGACTAGCTACTGTATTTACAAACTCTGCACCCAGGCTCTGAACATTTTATTTTTCTGTGCTTTCCAAAAAATACTCTGGAGCCCCACAAAAACTGAAATCTCCAGGACTGTGTCCATTCAATGTGATCGTCAAGCAGACAGCCAGGTGTTCCCTGTTCTTATCCTTGCCTTTATTTTCAGCCATTTATTCACTGCAGGTAGATCCTGCAGGTTCTTTACGTGGGGGGGGGGGGATTTTACAGGTGTGGGTTGGTTGCGATCTTCAAGGGATTTAATTTATTTCTATTGTGCATGACAACAGTTGTACGGTGAAGCTTGGCGTTGCACCTCCGCTCAGCACAGCCAGAGGGGATGAAACTGAGTGAAGCCTCCTCGACTGTGTGATCCTGGAAGAGAACACAGATAAAGAGATGGATGGTGAATGAGATGTTCTTTATGAGGCTATCCTCCTTGTGTCTCTAACGCTCCTCCAAATCAGTTTGGATTATTTTGCTCTGATGTTTTGAAGATCATCTGAGTCCTGTAAACTTGCGCTGTGCGGCTCCTCTTTACTCCAAATATGCGGGCATGTGTGCAGTCCGAGTTTGAAACCAATCAGAGCACAGCCCGGCCCCAATACCCTCATGATTTCTGATCCGCTGGTCATGAGCTGCTGATTGCTCCCTGTAATGCTTATGTAGAATAAACGAGGCACAACATGCTATTGAAGCAAAAATGTGGTCTGAAAATTGGTTGTGTGAGTGGAAAATCGACTCAAAATGGGGCCAGAAAATCACACAGTGGAAGCCCTGCTTAAAAAGACTGACAGGCTGAACCTCATCTGTCAGACTTAACCCTGGGACCATATTCATACTGCACTTTGGTACTCATCTCTAGTCAGAAGTCAGAATCCACCTAGTGGTTAAAAAGAAGCACGACGGGTGAACAGCACTGGCATAAACACAAAGGAAGAAAGGAGATTAAATCTATCTATCTGTCTGTCTGTCTGTCTGTCTGTCTGTCTGTCTGTCTGTCTGTCTGTCTGTCTGTCTGTCTGTCTGTCTCAGATGAAGGACAACTAAAATTAAACAAGCTCCTTTTAATGATTTTTAACTGACACTGTTTTACATCAATAATTCATTCTATCTTTTGAATTTCGTAAATAAAGTGTTGTTAAAATCCTATCTATCTAATATATCTATAATATCACTTTTATAAATCAGGTTTGTGTATAAATTAGTAATTTTGCTAGATGGCCTTAAATAAACTTTTGAGTCACTGATTGAATGGTTGGTTGGTTGGATTGATTCATTCATTCACCTTCTTGTTGAACTTGATAAACTTGTTAAATTAACAATGATTAATTTAATGAATTTAATTTAGTGATGTCAGAGAGTCTGCCAACTACAATGCAGTCAAGCGGGCCATTTTGGTAAATCTAAAATGAAGATTTAACTAACAAAAGTGCAGCATGATTAGGGCACAACAGGCCTGTTCCATGTTTACATAGTGCTGATTAAAAGCAGCCTGTTGATGCTGCAGCAGTTAGCCACCGGGTGGCAGTATTGCTTCATTCTTCTTACATTTAAAACCAGACATCATGACTGGTTTTCAGGCCAAACAACAGGCTAGATGTAATGTCAATGCGTCAACAGCACAGTGAAAATACACCACCTAACAACCACCTCTATGAAGAGCATCATCATATTTAATGCTCTCTTTCCGAAAATGTTCTTTAGCTGAGGACAGTATTAATTATGGCAGTAATTTAAAGGCGTCCCTCAACATTAGGGGGGTTTGTTTATCTATGATTAGTGATAATAATTATAGTAGAAAATAAAGAGGATAGATGTTTTTTTCAAAGATCACAGACTTTGGTTTTAGGATGATTAATAATTTTAATTTTTATTTACATTGATTTGATGTTGGTGTCACTACTGGGTGGAAAAAATCAAATCCCCCCACATATTTGAATAGAAGTAAACGATTTTGTAAAACAGATTGCACAGCATTTTTTTATTCCATTTTTTATTT